TTAAGGGTTATGGTGAACGGGCGGTTAAGTGGAGCTGAGTCTCAAAAAGATCAGCCATGATCTTATTAAATGGCGGGGCAGGCTCAAGGGGACGGATGGCCTACTCCTGCTCCTCGTTCTTATGTTCTTAAGTGGGACTAGTTTAGTTTGGGAAACTTGGTCAGCATGGACGAGTTGGACCAAAGGGTCTGTTTTCATACAAATGGGTCTATGACTCCCAGATCCCTTTGTACTGCAGATTTCTACACTTTTTCTCCAAATAAATAATATTCAGCTCCTTTACTCTTCCTGTACAAGTGCATAACCTCACAGTTTCCAACATTTATAATCTGGTTGGTTGGTTATAAATCTGGAATTAAGAATCTATTCATGACCATGAATCCATTGTCAATTGTCAGAAAAACCCATCTGGTTCACTTTAGGGAAGGAAACGGCCATCCTTACCTGTTCTGGCCTACATGTGACTCCAGACTCAGCAATGTGGTTGACTCTTAACTGACCTCAGGCAATTAGGGATGGGCAATAAATACTGGCCTAGCCAGCAATGTACTCATCCTGTGAATGAATTAAAAATAAAAATCCATCTGCCATGTTTTGGCCCACTTACTTAACCTGTCTATTTCTCTATGTAGACTCTTCCTGCCATTCTCACCACTTGACTTCCAACCTATTTTTGAGACATTCACAAATTGGTTATAGTACATTCACTTTCTTCAGTCATTCAAATAAACTGTAAGTAATTGTGGGCCCAGTACTGATCCCTGTGGTGCAATACTAGTTACACATTACCAACCGATAAAGCATCCCATCCCTATCCCAACTCTGTCTTTTATATGCTAAATAATCCTCTATCCATGTAAAAATACAAAGCTCTTATGTGTAGCACCTTATCAAACATCTTTTGGAAATCCAAATATATTACATCTATTGGTTCACCATCATCCATCCTGTCCTGTTACCTCTTCAAAGAACTGCAATGCACCTTGCAGGCATGATTTCCCCTTTCTGAAGCCATGCAGACTCTGCTTCATATTATAGATTTCCAAATGTGCTGCTATGACATCCTTTCTATTAAACTTTAACATTTTCCTAATGACATATGTCAGGCTAACTGCCCAACAGTTACCTGTGTTTTTTGTCTCCCTCCTTTTTTGGATAAAATGTTACACTAATAACTTTTCAATCCTCTGAGATTTTTCCAGAACATGAGCATTCCCAGAAGATTGCTACCAATGCATCCACTAACTTTGTAGCTACTTCATTTAAAATCCTAGGATACAACTCATCAGATCTAGGGAACTCATCGGCCTTTGGCCCCTTTAACCATCAGTCGAGGAAAAAGGGCTAGCATAATTACTGTATTTATTTCTTCCTCAACTTTTGCCCCTTGATTTAATATTTTTGGAATGTTATTAATGTTCTCTACTGTGGAGACCGATGTATTTATTCAATTCCACTGTCATTTTCTGATTCCCCACTATTATTCCCCCAAGTCACTCCCCAAGGCACCTTTTTTCACTTGTTTATGTTCACTATTGTTCTTCCTTCCATCCATGCACCGATCTCCTTTGAGAACTTCGATTGAAACTTAATGTCCTCCCCCCGGTTCAAAGATCCCCATTTAACAAAAGCAGCCTTCACTCACATCAAGATCCACCCCATCTGCTGCACCCTTGACCAGTTAATAATCCGAAAGAAGGTGTTTCTCATTTGCTGCTCATTAGTCACAAAAATACAATTTAATCTTGCAGTTTACTGAGTACAGACGACATTGTTATGACCAGACCCTGGGCTAAATTCCCCAAATGACCACAGTTCCAGACAATGAGGAAGTTCATCTTCTTTATTCATTGGTCCCTTCAGTTTGTCCATACAAGGGTCATTTAGAAAGAATCCCTCCCCTTTGGATACCTTTCTCTCAGACCCAACGAGTTTGTGTTCAGAAGGAGCCGATTTAATCGGGCTTCCTTGACGTAACAAACAAGAGCGTTTTTAACTTGCTAAACACAAAAAGAATTGGCAATGCATCACGTAGATTAGGAATAAACAGAGTCCAAAAAAAAAGTTAAGAGATACATGGATCAGACTCTCGGAGTCATTGGTGAAGTGTAGCTAGTGAAACATTGATAGTGGAACAGTTGATTTCAGGATTCTTAGCCTTCCTGTTGGATGGAATAGTTTGTCCTTTTGTTTTGATGGTGGTTGACTGGCAGCACTCAGAACATGAGAGTCCTTTTTGTCCTATTTCCTAAAGCAAAACGGTCACTTTACCTGCAGCGCAGGAATGAAGAGTGCGTGGTTTTACCAATGTGACATGCACCGTACACTCGCACTTAAACCCAGGTTAGTACACACAAATCTTAGTTCATGAGCATACACAGGTTAGGATAGCAGTCAGTTTCAAACCCCTTTTTGTCTATTTCTGTAAAGAATCTGCAAGAGGTGGCTTTCTGTGAGAGGGAAAGAAGAAATGGAGAGGAAAAAAAAGGAGGGAAGGAGGAAGAGCAGGAAAATGAATGAGTTAATGACAGCGAGCTTGTTATCTCTTCCTGTTACGTTCTCTGCTCAAAGTCTACCTGACATTCCATAGTTTTGCAGTCAATCATCTTTACTGTCTGAAGCAGTCCTCTTTTGTAATCCGCAATTTGGAATCAAAAATTACAATAAAATGTTCATAGTATCTCAGGATTCTGAATCATCATTATGGCAACATGCTAAGGTGTTAACTATACGTTGTTGCACTTGTTATTGGGAAACTCTGTCCCAGTGTAATCTGCTACATTCTTACTTCCATCCTGCCATCAGGAAGCTGTCATTTTGCCTCTCACCCAATTAAATGTTGATGCCCATATTTTCTCCTCCTGTGATCTTCCCCAAAGTGCTTCTTGCGGGATGGTCCAGAGGTGGGGAGAATCATTTATATACTTGATAGAAGTTTGATGGGCATTAGGTGAGACCATGAACGGTTACACCATGATGTATTTCAAAGTGAAACATCATGCTGGTCTAGCTCACTGATCTCCTAAGTGAATAATAGCTGGTTTGGGTACGGTACAGTAGGCTGCGATGTTGACGGTGCTATATCCCAGCAAAACAAAGAACAAAGAAAATTACAGCACAGGAACAGGCCCTTTGGCCCTCCAAGCCTGCACTGACATGCTGCCCATCACAACTAAAACGCCCTACCCTTCTGAGGACCATATCCCTCTATTCCCATCCTGTTCACATATTTGTCAAGACACCCTTTAAAAGTCACTATCATATCTGCTTTCACTACTTCCTCCGACAGCGAGTTCCAGGCACCCACCACCCTCTGTGTAAAAAAACCTGCCTCATTCATCACCGTTAAACCTTGCCCCTCACACCTTAAACATATGCCCCCTAGTAACTGACTCTTCCACCCTGGGAAAAAAATCTATGGCTGTGCCAGGTAGGAGAGAAGAGAGGCTAGAGCTTTGCTCAACTAAATTACCTCAAACCTTATAAGTGGTTTGTGTACTTGGCATTTACAATTTGGAAAGAAAATTCTACCCTTAAATTGCCTAGGAAGACTTTGTTTTTATATCCTCAAAAAATCCTTAAGTAATTTAACTGGGAAAATGAAAAAATCTCACAGGCAAAAATAAATCTTCCATACTGTCTGTGTGGCCTAATTCCCAATGGATTCTGCTGCCAATTTGATCCAATGGCTAAATGTAGGTTGTTGATGGAACTATCTCACACACTTTCCAAACTGCTCTGCTTCAATATATGGACGAATACTTAGGTCGTTGGATATGGGTGTGCATATGATTTTACCTGAGGAAAACTAAACCCTCCATCAACAACATAGCAGAGGTCTTTTAAAAGTAAACTTTAAAAAAACAAGTGAAAACATTGTTCTGAAAGTGCAACTAGCCTTCAAACAAAAACATGAACACAATATTTTATAGAAGGTGCATTGCTTTTCATACTAATTTTATTTAATCAACAAAACTTTCTAAAACTGCACCTTCAAATCCACACCATTACCATCTGGAATGACAAGGGCAGCAGATACACCGCCACCAGCAGGTTCCGCTCCAGGTCGTTCACCATCCTAACTTGAAATTACATCACTGTTCTTTCAGTGTCGCTGAACAAACCTTGGAAACTCCCATCCTAACAGCATTGTGGATGTCCATGCGTCACATGAACTGCAGTGACTGTCAGAGATGATGTGCCACCACCTTCTCAAAGACAATGAAGGATTATTAATCCATCATTCAATCCTCATCTAGCCAGTGACACCCACACTCCATGCAAAAGAAATTAACAATTCAGAATCCAAACCGGTTGGCCACAGTATTAACTTACAGTTACAGTTTTACAAGTTGTAAAGTATCTGGATATCACAGTGAGTGATTAAGTCAACAATTTTTCATTCAAGCTGTTCAATGTACAATAAACAATGGAGTCATGTATCCATCAGATAATCAGTCGGAGCAGGCAGCCCCCTTGAAGAAAATGTTCCACACCCATTATCATTGGTCCATTCAACTGGCAAGTTCTTGCCTGAGCCAAATTTTGACCCAAATAGCTTTACTTCTTGTTCACTGGAGTGATAAAGCACTTCAATTAAGGGAGCACTTTACCAAAGTGCAGGGAAAAACTGTTCAATTACCCTAAACCACAGCAGACACTGTTTTCAGATTCCAGCTCAGGCCCAATCCATTGACAGTTTCAGAATGACAGCAAATTATCTTTCTCACTATTCTTCTATATTATATAACTATATCCAGAACTCAAGTATGTTATAGATTACATATGCCTTACACTTTTAAACACATTGGTGTTCTTTCACTAAGTCCAACACAGAGTACATTACAAATCCCTTACAAAATTCAGGTTTAATTCACTCTCCACTCCATTCCAATTGCATTAAAGTTAGTCATTTTTCTTTTTGGAAATCTACAGGCACATTAAAAATAAGCATAAAACGATAAAAGTTATAGGTTCATTTTTAAGCGAATAACACTTACTACTGTGCGCAGTCAATGAGCTGGTACTCATTTGACCTTTCAAAACAAGCCTTTATACCTTCATCATCCCACAGTGCTTTCGCATGATCGAAGAATTCCTACAAAATAGAAAGAAATGTTCAATTAATAAAATGGATTTCAAGACCAGACCTTGTGCCATTAATGACAACAAATTAGCTTAGTTTGGGCTCTTGTGGTACAGTGTCTACCTGTGGACTAGAAAGTTTGGGTTCAATGTCATGTGCCATAATATCTCTGAACAAGTGAGTAAAAGACATAGGCACTCTTGTGGTGCACTGGTGGTGATCTGGACTCTGGGCCAGGAGGCTTGGGTTCAAATCCCACCTGTCTCAGAGATATGTGTGTTGTAATGCATCTGAACAGATGGACTAAAGTGACAATTTAGCAAAGCTGGGTGGGCTGTTGTGGCGCAGTGACAGTCATCTGGGTTCAAGTCCAACCTTTCCCAGAAATGCGAAGTAACATATCCAAACAGATTGATTAAAGAACAGGTACAAAAGGTGGGAATGAGAGTTGTGAGGAAGAAGCAAAGAATCTGCAAAGAGATATAGATAGATTGGGTCAGTAGACAAGAAGGTGGCAGATGTGGTATAATATGAGGAAATGTAATATTATCTATTTTGGTAACTGAAAAGCTGATTTTTAAATAAAAATAATGAGGAGATTTGTTGGTACTTGGTGAGATTGGGCTGTTTTTACACATGAATCAAGGCAAGTTAACCATTCAGGATCTTGTCAGCAAGGCAAATGATATACAGAGGATTGGGGTTTAAGAGTGAAGAAGCATTCCTTAAATCATGCAAGGCAATGATGAGACCACACCTGAAGTAATGTGTGCCGTTTTGGTGTCCTTATCTGAAGGAGGATGTATTGCCTTAGAAGTGATATAATGAAGGTTCATTCAATTTCTGGGATGAGAGTTATCCTCTGTGCAATGAGAAACTGAGTGGACCTACACTCTCTGGAGTTTAGAAGGATGGTGATCAAATATAAATTGTTAGCAGGCTTGAAAGAAATATTAACAAGCTCTTTCACTTGGCTGGGAAACCTAGAAATAGGGGTCAAAGTTCAACAATAAGGGGTCAGTCATTAAGCCTAAGCGGAGGAGAATTTCTTCACTTGGATGGGTGTGAAGTGTTGGTATTCTCACCAGGGGATCAAGGGATAAGAAACGAAGATGGAGAGTTGTATTGTGGACAAATTTCACTCATGACCTTGCAATGGAGCCTAATTCAGGGACCACGTGGCTAACTCTTGCTCCAATTTCACATAGATTTTTTAAAAAGTCAAGGCAAGCTGCTATAATTTGCTATATTGATGAGGTTTGTATTTCTATTCCCTCTGCAGGCACAAATTTATGCTTAGCAGCTTCATGTGACCTTACACAGACTGTTCAGAATTTATTTTCATATAGATAAATCATTTAAAATTAGAGGAATGAAAATAGTCCGCACACTAAAACCATTGATCCTTTTTACAAAGGATAAGTTCTTAAAGGCTGACCACATCAAAAAAAGTACCAATGTTCTCACTCCTGTAATATTTAGAATATTCTGAAGGCAGACTTTCTAGCTTCAAATAGACATCTATTGTTTAACAGAACAGTATAGTCCTTTCATATCCTAGAATCGCCGTTCACCCAACTGGTGTTGAAAGAATGGCCCTTTCAACAAAAGGAAGGCAAAAGAAATGATCGGAAATAGCAACATGAATGGCTCATGTTCTTTAGCTCTCCCATTTCTTCATTAATTATGTGCAAGGCGCTTTGTTGAGAAGTAAGGTATACGTTGCTGTGGCTAAAAGGTTGTGACATTTCACTTTTAAGTTACTGCCAACATTAACACCCAGCAGACGGGTAAGGTTTCTTTCTCAAATCAGGAACAGTGCTGGCATTGACATACAAAAGGGAATGAGTTTTGTTGCTGTTGAGTTGCTCCCCCTGCTTCCTGAAGATGGTGAGGTTGACCCCTCCCCACCAGTGGCCATTAACATGCAAGTTCAATGAGGCCTGACAATTCACACATGGGTCAGGCATGCAGAGTGGGTTAATTCCCACTTCCACAGAGCTGACGTGGGGAGAAGTGCCACCCACATTCAGATCGTTGGTTTAGCGTGGTTTATGTAGCACAGTGAAATAGCAACACTGATTTTTTTTTAAAAAACACTGCAGAGAGATTTTCTCCAAGTAATTAAAGGGCAGAACATTTTCATGCCTTGACAGTTCTAGTGAGTTTATGCAATTTTCAAGCACATTCATGCCAGAAGTTAAACAGCCCTGAAGGGCCCCTGCCTTCTCCCAGAGGTGTCTCAGGACCACAAGGAGTAAGGAACCTCTCCCAAAGTGTGCCTGACCTTACCCTAGAACGCCAGCAGCTTTCTGCTTCCTCCTACCAGGTCTAAAAGGTACACAGTGTGTGTTTTGGCATACAACTAATAAACATCGGATTAGCCAGACTCAGCTGCATTTCAACATGTGCAGCTGCCTCACTGAACAAGAGATTTGCAAATTAGAACCTGTCACCAATCCTCCCCCCACAACCACCCCACAACAGAAACGGTAAGGTCTCAGCCTTGGGGGGCAGAGCTTCAGGTTTGTCTCCCCATCGTCGTTTTCACCAAGATATTGAAGCCCCTCCGCCTGTGTGAAAATTCAAGGCTGGGTGTTGACAGGTTCACAATCCTCAGAGGCACAATTGCTAAATCTAATCCACCGCACACTTGCAGGACTCACCCTGAGCACTAGGAACAAAATTCTTCGTCACTTTTCCCCCCCATTCTCTAACCAATGGATACTGAAGTTGGGCAAGGCCCAAACTGTACAAGCTGTAAGCTGTGGTAGAACTTTAGCAAATCAGGTCACCACCTCCGACCCGCGTGCATCCTGCTCACAACAGGTCCTCACCTTGCTGCTGCTCATTTTAACCCAGCACATAGACCAGCACTCACCATTCAGGAAGCACAACAAGCAAGGTTCAGTCACTCACTTGCTGACCCACTGTGGGAATGCAAGAGTTAAAATGGCGTTGACAGCAGGAATCACCCACAGGTTTCCAAATTTATTAAGAAATACTAGTTAGATATAATTCAAAAGTGTTGTACTGAATATTAAGAGTCTTTAATAAATAAGGTGGACAGCAGAGGAGGAGGAAGAGGAGAGAAAGCAGGACAATAAAAGAGAAACAGGAGGCCGTTAGGGGGAAAACAAACAGGAGGGATTTTGAGGAAGAAATACAGAGATAAAAGGAAGCAGAGAGATTGAAAAGAATATATTTCAGACAGGCATTCACTTTAGACTGCCCTAGCAAGGCACTAGTAGAGACAGGGGGTCATGTCTTCACCCCAGCTCCTTGTTACAACAGCAACTACACTTCAAAAGTAGTCAGTTGGTGGGAAAGCACTTTGAGCCATCCCGTAGTTATGGAAGGTGCTACATAAATGCAAGTGAGTTTTATTTTCCTTGCATAAGTTTCATAGGGCAGTAATCAGGCAGCAGTTATTCAAGCATCAAGTAGGGGGAGAAAATGCAAAAGTTTACTTTTAAATCCTTAAATCCAGAGAATTTTTACTTGTTAACATACTTAACTGTTGGGCTCAACATTCATATTACTAATGTTGCCATGTTCAAAGCTGCTGCAAGTTTCAATGGTTTCTCGTGGCCAGAGACTAATTTTACCAAGAGATTCACCATTGGCAGTGTTGCGCTATTGCAACTATAACCAGATCAACAGTTTATTTTATAAATGTATTTTCAGTCAAATTGCTGATCAGTGCCCTGTTAAATGTCAATAGAGTGATTAAAATCCTTTGAGATCTGTCCTCTTGGTATCCTTGGACTAGATTAATGACCACACTCTGCAGTTTTCCCATTGTGACGCTTGTTTGTGTCAGTTAATATCTTTATTGCATGACAAGCTCCAGGGAGTGAGCAACCCAAACTGGGCATAGTTTTGTTCCAAGTTCTGGGGCTGTGCTAATCACTGAACCTAATAACTAGTGACCCAGAAAGGAGGCAGAATTTTTGTCATGGTGAGTCAACATACAAACCACAAACAGAACAACCATCGTCAGCAGCAGAATTTACACATGGCCCTAAAAATACATTTTCCTACAATTCATTGCTTCATCAGGCTATCATTTACTACACAATGGGGCACAACTCCTATCATTATTGTGGTCCTCGAGATGCAGAAGTTTTGTAATCAGGAACTCACTGGACGTAACAGGCTTCACGTTAAGGCCCAGATGACTCCCAGAACATGCGTGTGTAGAAAAGTATTAATCGTCCCCCTGTGGGTTCCTGCTCTAACTATGTCATTCCCAATTCACAAAGATCACGCAATCACAAAGTCTGCTATCCTCACATCTCCAAAACAGCTGACTACTTTTCCAAAACTATCCATGTTGGTGACGCAGCTTTCTCCTTAGCAATATGCTCAATTTCTCCAAACCCCAAAGCAGTGCATGAACCAAACTATCGACTTCACTTAAGGTTCCTTCAGCTTATGGATCCATCTCCTGTAAACACAGTCACAACCAAGATCAATGAACCAGATGGAGCTCTGCAGTCCTACCACATCCAGTCGTGAATGGTCGTAGACAATTAACTGGAAGAGCTGGCTCCAAACATATTTATATGCCCAATGATGGGGGAAATCCCAACATGTCAGTTCAAAGGAGAAGGATGAAGTTTTTGTAAACATCTTCAGTCAGAAGTGCTGAGTGCATGATCTATCTCACCCTACTTCAGAGGTTATTGATGCCAGTCTTCAACCAACTCAATTCACTTTACAAGATATCAAGGAACAGTTAAAGACACAGGATACTACAAAGGCTATGGACCCTGACGACCTTCTGGTAATCATTCTAAAGATTCTCACCAACTTCTACAGATGCACCATAGAAAGCATGCTATCTGGGTGCATAACGGCCTGATACAGCAACTGCTCTGCCCAGTACTGGAAGAAACCACAGAAAGCTGTGTGCACAGCCCAGACCATCATGAAAGCCAACCTCCCATCCATGGCCTCCATCTACACTTCTCGTTGCCACGGAAAGACGGCCAACATCATCAAAGACC